AAGGTAGCGATAAACAAAATTTCGAAAAGACTACAAATGCGTCAACAAGAGTTGTTGATCAAGCTGGTACTTCAACAAGAGTTGTTAATGAAGCTAGTACATCACGTCAGTCACATCCACCTCAAGAATTGATGGTGCATCGACGTAGTGGGAGGATTGTATCTCAACCTGACCGTTATGTGGGTTTAACTGAAACCCAAGTTGTCATACCTGATGATGGCATCGAAGATCCATTGACCTACAAACATGCAATGGAAGATGTCGACAATGACAAATGGGTAAAAGCCATGGACTTGGAAATGGAGTCTATGTACTTCAATTCAACTCGAAACTTTAGACAATCCAACTCGGTTCTTTCTATGTGTTTTTTATCGGAAACTCTCTCTGTGTTTTCTAGGAAAAACCTCCTGTATGACACACACCCCCAGTGAGAGAGAGTGGAGACATTTTAGGGGAGGAGCAGTTCTATTTTGAAATTTAAATTCAATTTGAATTTCTTTATTAAAACTTACACTGTTTTTACTAACTATTAGATTTAAAATAACTTCAAATTCATATCATAAATGATGTAAAGTTGAAGAAAATGTTGAACTTAAAAAAAAAAATAAGAAAATGTTATTGTAAAAAAAAAGTACCTTAGACAATTAATTTAAAAAATTGTCGACTTCTTTGGACTCTCTGCAAGCTGTAAAATTCAAATTAAAAAGTTGTATAAAATAAAAATAACTTAATCTCGAAAATGATGATTTAAAGAAAATAAAAGATATCGTTAGAGGATACAATAATTTGTAGAAAAAAATATTACCTATAGGCAACATACAAGTTGAAGAAAAAAAAAAGACAAGAGAGAGAACTATATAACAATAGAAAAGAATGTCTTATAGGTTTAAAAGAATAGCGATAGTTACATCATTTAAAATAGGGTTTAAATATTCGTCAATTTATATATATTTTATTCTTTTTTTAGATATTGACATATTTGTTTAAAAGATTTTCCATTTTTTCTTTTCTTTTCATTTTAAAAAAAGTGACTTAATTATTTTCCTTGGTTTAACCACAATTTTTCTTGCTCTAACCCGAACAATAATAGAACATTCAAAATAGCGCAAAAATTGGATGTCATTTGCTGAAAAATCTCATAAACAATACATATTGAATAAGAAAAACATGGTTACAGGTAGATTTAAACCCATGCCATCAAAGTTGGGTTGGGACATTACCGCGCAGACACCACTACACCAAAAGAGAACATATTGACTGATATCTATACTAAATATTAATTGTACAATGTTTAGGGAGGGCTCGGGCCCTTATTAAATTCATCCGTGCTCAGGTACCTCATTGATATTATACATATAATAGTAATCCAATAGCATAACAAATATGGGGTGAGATTTAAACCTCTAATCTAAAAAGGAACGAGCAATGTACTTTAACCCTATGCTTGTTCATATTTGCATTATATACCTACATTTTTTATCGACTTATATATTTACACATTTATCAATTCATTTATCAACTATAATTGTTACTTTTTTTTAGTACTAATTGTTACTAAGTTTAATCATTGATTTGTCTACCAAATTGATTAATTCATCTAATAACTTATAAACCTTGATTAACGATAATCATTGATATATATTGAATGAATGCAAGTATTGACTCGCTCATCATTAAAGATTTAGTTAGACTTTGAGCGATGCGTTTTCTAAAAAACATCGTCGAAAGTAAGTTATAGCTATGTATGAAAACGATGTCGCTAGCGACATTTTTATGGTGTTGCTTAAAAGTCTATTTTATTATAGTAAACCTTTGATCTCTGCTCGTCTTTCTTATAGGGATTATAATTCCTTGTTAGAGCGCATTGTGGCGAGAGTTCGCCCCTGGTCAAATCATATATTGTCGTATGTTGGAAGACTTCAATTAATTAGGTCGGTTCTCCAAAGTTGTTATGTGTATTGGACTAGTGTTTTTCTGTTGTCGATGCAAATTATTCGCGAGGTGGAAGGCTATGGCTATCATGAGTATTTGTAATTGGTTCCATCCTTTTGTTAGGCATGTTATTGGGGACGGTCGATAATGCTTTCTATGATTGAATTCTTGGCTTCTATTGGGTCTGTTATTGCAGAGATATGGGGAGATGATTATTCATGATGGTAACAGCTATTGTCTTGTGAGAGTCTCTGATTTCTTAGGTCCAGTACTAGACGGTGTGTGCTAGTGGCCATGTATCTCAATTGATCTTTTAGAGGTGAAAGCTTCTACGATAACAGTAATCCCTCGTCACGGATGGAGGATAGTATTGTCTGGACTTTTGGGACCTCAAAGTGGTTTTCTATGTTGAGTGCTTGAGTTATCTTTTGGCCTAAGAGCTCTCAGGTCTCTGACACCGTGTGATTTGGTTTGCTAGTTGACTATTTATATCTCTCGACTTGGGATAATATATACGTTCTTGGTATCCTTCTACTCCAATTTCATGTGTCCTTTATTATTATGGGTTTGAGATACTTGGAACCATCTTTTCTTTGATGGTATGTTTAGAAAATTTGTCTGGGTGGTTTGATCGCATCGACGGGTTCCTCTCATTGTATTTGTCTATGGTATATAAATATAGTATAGATTTGTCGTATTAGTATATAGGTTGTTCACCTAGATAAGAGTACGAAGGATTGCTTGGACTACCTCTATATCTCATATTTGGAGAGAATGTAATTCTAGGATCCATGAGGTGTCTCCGTCTGGTTCTAGTTATTTTACATCTTGTTTAGTGCGGTGTTTGTGTTTGTGCTACTACTTGGCCGGATAATGTTCATTATAGATTCTTACTATTTATAGGGTCTCTACTTGAGATTTATTTTCATAAGTTGTGTGCTTTAGTTACGTTGTTTTATTTTTTTTTGTAATTTGTGTTCCTGCAACGTTATTGACATATCTCTTTGTTATTTTTGTACTTTGATCTCAGGCTATGAGATCTATATTTTTCCTTGCAATATACCCATTAGTTAGAATAAAAAACTTTTAAAATCATAAGAACCAAATTGAAAATATGTACAAAACTATAGGGATCAAATTCATTCGTAACTTAACCCTATCTTTTTAGGTTTTATTCTTGTAATCTTTTGTAAGTCTGTTGAATGATAAATTTTGGCAATCACAAATTCCACACAAAATTATATGTCATTCAATTGAGACCAATTAAAATTTGACAAGTGTCTTTTGCATATTTGAATTGGACCAATCAAATTGGGTCATGACCCTTCTAATGACATAAGTTGGTCCAATCAAAATTCTCCATATCTCCTTGATGATAGGTCTAACCCACCTCAGACCCATGAAAAAACTCTATAAACAGAGTGTAATTCACTCTTTAATTAATCATCAAGAGGATCAAAATTCATCTGGCCGATCAAGATCAACATCAAGGTACTGGCCGATCAAGATCATCGTGAAGCCAGAGACCAATCAAGATCAACATGAAGCCAATGACCGATCAAGATCAAGATCATCAAACCATCAGAGGTAGATCAAGATCACCATCAAGACAGAGGCCGCTAAGAGGCAAATCAAGACCAATAAGTCAAGAGGCAATTATCCAAGAATTCAAGAGAAATAATTAAATGATAAATATATTAGAGATTGTACGAACCTCAAATATCAATATTACAAGTTATATTTAGTCCGGGAATCAAATTTCTTCTCAAATCTCATGTGAACAACATCCATTATTTCATATTTGCAGTTACCTTAAAAAACCATATTTCAATATTCTTGTGTGCAGGTGATAAAGATGTTATTAGGTACCTTTCCAAAATAAAGTTCATGGCTTAGTATCTTATCTTTAGTAGGTGCAAGATAATTAGATTGACCTTTTGTTTTTATCTAATATATATATAGGGATTCTTCAATGAATGCAACCTAGGTTAACAATAAAGGTATCACAAGCAGTATAGAGTTAGAATGAGAATGGTGTGCCATGAGCTCAAGTTTTGATGCTAAGTTTTGGTGATACCAAATGTCATGGGTTGAATTGGAACTGCCATATATGGCTCTCTTGATCGGAAACACAAACACGTGTCCAGCTAAATACTGATATGAAAATACAGATGCTACACAGGTATAAAATTCTCGACAAGACAGAGACTTTCCAAAGTCTCTCACAAAAAGTGAGGTTCATCCATCACAAAGGTAGACAACTCTACGCAACCACACTAAGTTCGACTGGATACCAACTCAAACTAAACACTAACTTAAGCTTCACAGAATTTACTTGGCTATGCACCACAATAGTGCAGGGTTTTGTTTTAGGTCATCTCCTCAGCTAATTGGACTTCCACCATACGAATCAGAAACTGACTCGTCACTTATCTAGAATACTGCATCAACCCCAAATATTTTTTAGATGAACCAAAATCAAAATATATTTGATTAATAAGTTTTAAGTGTATGTGTAAATTGGAAAAAAAAAATCGATACATTTTGTCTTTTCCTTTTCTGTAAATTGGGTAGACAAGAAAGGGAAATTGATCATATGTAGTTGCATACATATTTAATAAGAGAAGATTAACAAGTTTAAGAAAAAAAACTTAAAATTTCATCCCACGGAATCACTAAGGTATAAAATACATTAATATTGTACCTAGGAAGGTTCGAATTCTCGTCTTCACAATTATATAAACTCGTCATTTTGAAATAAAAACAATTTAAAAGGGAGGACAGAAAGGTAAAATGACAAATTACAACCTTTCTCCAACTTTATTTTCCTCCTCTTTTGCAGTGTAACTGAGAATAGAAGAGCAATTAGCAACCATAGATTTGATTAATGGTTGAGAGTGAAAGAAGGGAATTAATGTCTTAAACCGGTAAAATTGTAGGGTTGTAACAGACTTGGTTCAAGGCCACGTATTGATTTACGGCCATGGAGATTCAATTCTTTAGTTTGACCTATTAAGAAAGAAAGGAAAAAAAAAAAACATAGAAATCTTAGGTTTTCCAAAGAAAGGGCCGTTTGAGTAAAAGTTGGAGAGTTGTTTTTATTTGGTTAGAGATTTGGGAGTCCCATTTTCTGATATCATCCTATTATCTACCATTTCTTGAAGGGCCTCCAAGGGTGTATCCTCACTCAAATTCATTATAGTGGAACCGAAACGGGAATAGGACTCGGGGAGTGGAGTAGGCCACAACCGCCGAACCACTTTTATAATGGTACGGTACGTTTTCTCTTTCTCTGTATCTATATCTGTTTTATATCGTAGGTACGACTATAAGAGTTTGGTAAATATTTCTCAACTTGTAGAGAGATTCATAGTCCTCGTAGTTGTTCTTGGTTTTCGCTGTTATTATTATAGAATTTGCCTGACGTATTGGATGATTTGGATTGGCCATCTAAGAGATAAGGGAAAATGAGATAAAAAGTATGGAAAAGATGGTCTTCTCATTCAAGAAATGAATGAACCAAAATTTCAATTTAAGATCAGAAAGTAAGAATTGGGGAAGAAATTATTGTGTCCCTAACAAAGTCATACATAATTTACCTATTTGAAGAAGATAATTTTAAAAGCCACAAGGTAAAAGTAGAATTATCAACACAAATTACACTAAAAAGAATTAAGAAAGTTAGAAAGTTAGAGAGTAATATTGAAGAAAACGTCATTGTGACCAAGATGATTTTTTTAGTACAATAAATTAGAGATATAGGAGAAAAAGAGTAGATGTCAATTATCCCTGAACCAACCCGAGGAAGTTGTTTTTCTAACGAAACCCACTTCATAACACTCTTGCAATTCTTTAATTTTCTTTTTTTACATCTAAATGTGGTTAAGATATATGTGATTAAAATAGCGTTCAAGTAGACCTTGAATTTAGTGATTATAAAAATGGGGAGGATTTCGAACCACACAATTAAGTATTTTTAGACCTATATATAATTATAGAGGGCCGTAGGGATTTGAGTTTGTTCCATAAGTAGTCTTTTGGCATTCATCTTTTAAACATTTTTTAGAAAGGAAAAAAAAGGCAACGATTTCCCCAGAAGGTTGCATTGAGAGTTCAAGGTGTTCTTTTGATACCTCCTTAGAATATTTAAGTTATATAGCTTCAACATTTTGTTGTCAATTATCTTGGTGAAAACTAATGGTTAGATATCCGAATTAAATTTATCCAACCCATCAACTTAAATTTTTTGGGTTGACAAGTGATTTATTCATCGGTATCAGAACGGGAGATCCTGTGTTTGAACCCCTGCATTGTTGGGTTTCCTCTATATTTATTATGATTTCTACTTGTTGGATCGATATCCAACTAAATGATTAATCTTTTGTGATCGATTTTTTAGGTTGCTCTAGAAACCTAGTTTGAGCTTTGAGAAATGGCGGGCGGCGGCGGCGGTGGGCCGAGTAGGGAGTTGGATCAAACACCAACATGGGCCGTTGCCTCTGTTTGTGCAATTATCATTCTTATTTCTATCATATTGGAGAAAGTTCTCCATATGGTTGGGACGGTACGACTCCATACTTCTTGCTCCACATTAATCTATTTTTTTTGTTTTTTGTATCGATTGTTAAGGAGGGACTCTACGATGGTTTATAATAGATATGAGCTACTCCTCTGATAGTCAATTAGTTTTGAGATGGAACCCATGAATATTAATATGGTATCAAAGTCCAAAAGCTCAGACGTCGACCATCTTGAAGGGGCATATTAAGGATACCACATTAGATATGGGTTATTCTTCTCATAGTCAATTGATATGATTGGTTATTTTTACTGGAGTGATTGATATTTATATATTTTTTTCTTTTCTTCTCTCTTTTTTATATATATTATCTCTCAGATATTTCAAAGAAAGAAAAAGAGAGCATTGTTTGAAGCGTTGGAGAAAGTAAAAGGCGGTAAAATTACCTTTCTGTTCTTCATAATGAGTTTATTTTACATTTCAAGTTTTATTTTTGCTAGAAAGATGTTAGAATATTTGTCTCAATTGTATTAGTTTTCTTGTTTCTTTTGACAAAAGTACAAATGGAATAGACTAATTTGAACTCCGAAAATTTATTTGATTACATGTTTAAATTCAATTTTTTTTTGGTTTAGAAAAATTAAGTTTCCATCAAATTTAAATTTGAAGTTTACTTTTTCGTTTATTTTGGACAGAGCTTATGGTTTTAGGATTCATTTCTTTGCTCTTGACATTCGGCCAAAACTATATTGCTAAAGTTTGCATACCTTCAAAGTATGCAAATACAATGTTGCCTTGCCCTTATAGAGGGAGTTCACAAAAAGCTCCCCCGACCGATGATCATCACGACGATCACCACAAAGAAAAGGTCGATGATCACCATCGTAGGCTTCTTTGGTACGAACACCGATTTCTCGCAGGTGGCAGTGCTCCTACAGAAAGCTGCAAACCAGTAAGTAGACTTCTATTTAGAGTGTGTTTGGAAGTAATGATCATGACCAAAATCACTTTTACCGTTGTCAAAATCACTTCCATTTTTATTAATTATGTTTGTGAAATTAAAAAATTGATTTTATGAAATTTTAAAAGTCATTTTAAATTGATTTATAAGGTAGTTGGACGGTGATTTATCAATTATACTTAAATCTCATTTTCCAAAATCACTATTTTTACCATCACTTCCAAACACACCTTAGTCGTTGAAATTTAGATTATGCTTTTATTCGATCTATATTTTTAACCATTGGCGTAGTGTCTCTACTCCATCGTGTCAATTCAATCAAAATTTTTTAACATATTGGATTCATAAAGTATCTAATATTACCATAATATATATTCTCCCTATTAATGTATGTACTATCATAGTATTAGAGTTTCTCTTGTTACATCACTATCCCCTTAATTCAAGGGACCAAGCAAAGGCATAATCTAATTTATGGGTTAAATTTATAATTTAACTACCCATTTAATTACATAATTTCTCACAAAGTCTTTTATTTTTCTCCAATGTAGGGATATACACAACTTATATCTCTAAATGGTTTGCATCAAATACATATCTTCATCTTCTTTTTAGCAGTCCTCCATGTTATATTTAGCGCCATAACGATGACTCTCGGAAGACTGAAAGTAAGTACGTACATACTTTGGATGTCAATTTTATGTTTATAAATTTGGTCCCAAACAGTTAGAGTTGTGTGTTTATTTAGCCCATATACTTGGTAAGGTCTCTTTTGAATCCATGAACTTTTTGGTTTATATAAATTTAGTTTCTTTATTTAATTTTTTTAACTTTGTGTTATTCATTAATTTTTTCTTTTAACACTTACATGATATACTAATTGGTGCATCATTTAAGGATCATGTGGTAGGATGATTTTGAACGTAGTTATTAAATAATACATTTACTATGTCATGCAAGTATTATACTAATAAAATTAGTGACAAAAACCTATTAGATAAAAAATTGAAACTTCACAAATTAGTTATCATAAACTTTTTAATACATAAACTAAATATAGATACAACAGTGAAAGTTTAAAAGTTTATTAGAAACACCTTTTAAAGTACGAGTTCTAAATAGACACAAACTCAAAGGTTCAATAACTAAATTTATAACATAACCTAAAAGTTATTACAAATAACATATTACATAAAATAAAATAATTGTAAATATTAATTATAGTCAAAATAATCAGGGGTTACTTTACAAATTGAATCACTAATTAACCTATAATTATGTCCATATGTTGTAGTTTTTACTATATTTGTAATTTATTTTTAGCTGTTAATTTTATAATATTTTATTTAAATTTAACGAGTTTTTTCTTTTTCTTTTTCTGTTTTTCATCTTGAAGATTCGTGGATGGAAGGTATGGGAAAAACAAACTGAACAAGAACACGAAGCCATGAACGGTATAGTAAGAAGATGAGGGTTTCTCATTGATGGTTTTCTTGTAATTACTTCCAATCATGCCCTATAATTTTGTCATTTCGTTTCTCTCTCTCAGATCCTACAAGATTCAGACTTACTCATGAAACATCTTTCGTAAGAGACCATAGCAGTTTCTGGACCAAAACGCCCCTCTCCTTTTACTTTGTAAGAACTCACCACTACTTTTCTTATTATATATATATATATATATATATATATATATATATGTGTGAACAGTGGCAAATCCAATTAAACAGCTTGAAATAATAATTTTTTATTTTATTTTATAAGAAGATTAATTGTTTTAAAATAATGTACTGAAATTTTTAAAATATTTTTTATTCATTTTTCATTTATATTTTTATACCGTGAAAAAAAAAATTGAGACAAAATTATAATATTATATAATTGTTATTATATAATATTTTGTAACTAAGAATATGATTTTCTCAAAAAAAAAAAAGGAAAAGGAAAAGGCAACTTTCCATTTTTAGTTGAAATATTTATAATATGGTTCTATGACTTGAACCTAGATCCTACAAGGAGGCTAGGGTGTAATAACCTTTAAATTAATAATATAAAAACTTTCAAAGTTAAGGGGTTCGAGCCCTTGGGATGGAATTGCCGCTAGATTCGAAGATTTAAATTTATGATTTTTTTTAAGAGATTGCTAATATTTTGACACTACGTATAAAGAGATCTCGAGATAGTTTACCTTTATATTGATTTATTAATTTTAATTCTTCAATTTTAGTGTGATACTTGGATTTATTTTTTAGGTATGTTTCTTCCGACAATTCTTCAGGTCAGTGAGTAGGGCTGATTACTTGTCACTTAGACATGGTTTCGTAACTGTAAGTACTTTCTTTTACCATTTGAACTATTACATTTAATCCAAAATTTTTTGGTTTATAAATTTTATAAAGTTTCAATTCTATCTCTAAACTTGAAAACGCTAACGTGTAATATTTTTTTCCATTTCTTTTGTTATTGCAATATAGGTTCATTTAGCCCCTGGTAGTAAGTTTGACTTTCAGAAGTATATCAAAAGATCATTAGAAGATGACTTCAAAGTCGTTGTCGGAATCAGGTAAAATTTTGATAAATTTTAAGTATTTTGAAAGCATTGGGCTTAAAAATTGTGTTTAATATAACTAAAGTTCAAAAGAAAAGTCTATATTTTGTAAACCACTTCAGATTTTCAAAGTTTTCTGTTCAAGTTATAATGTAGCATTGCTAAATTATAAATGTATGTAAGATTTGAATTTTGAAACTTGTCATTTTGAATAATAGAATACGAAAAAACTCAAATTATTTTTAACTTTTAAGGGACGAAAATTAAAATTCAGACTTCTCAAATTCGTGCGTAACAATTTTTTTTTTATTTTTTTGGCAGTCCTCTACTATGGGCATCAATGGTGCTTTTTCTGCTTCTCAATGTTAATGGTTAGTATTATACCTTGAAGATATTTTCTGCATTATTTGTATAATTTATATATTAAGTTTTAAAAATGATATTTTAAATATTGTTATTATTTTTATTTCCAGGATGGGATGCCATGCTTTGGGTGTCCATATTTCCTCTTGTGGTAAGAATTTTTTGTATATAATTGATAAGGTTCTCACTTTCTAGGATTCTTATTTCGAAAATAGTGTATTCAATAATATTTTAGGTTTCTCATTTCTATATAGAAATGTTTATATATATATATATATAAAACAAGAGAAATCAAATTCATTTTTTTAGTACAAAAAACAAATTCATTTTTATTTTAGTACTTTTCTGTTTTCTATATTCTAAGTACAGAGGATTGCTTGTGATGTTTTAATTTTTTTTTTCTAACCAAATTTTAGTTATTATTAAAATAAAAATTTTATATATATTGAAAAACCTATTTTTTCAAGGAGCAAAAGAAAACAAAGAACTGAAAGAACCTACAGTTTTATTTTAAACAAAAGAAAAAAAAATCTGAAAATTGTATTGAAATTTTAAAAACAACTATAAAAGGTAGATTAAAAAGAATAAACAAGCCCAATTAAAAAATAATAATAAAATAAGAAATAAAGGAAGAATTTTTTCCCTTTTTAGTTTAAATACTAAGTTGGTCATATATTTTTAAAACACTAATTTCAAATGCGGTACTTTTAATTTTGTTCATTTTAGTTCATTTCATATATTCTCAAATCGTCTATTTTAGTTTCCGTATTTTTAAAAGTATCATTTTTATTTTTATCTCATTTCTACTCAAATTTATGATAATATTTTACTTTTAAAATGTAGGCATGAATCTGAATGCAACAACTTCCCTCATATATAAAGTTTTGTGATCAAATTAGTGACGGTTTAAAAGTATAGAAATCAAAATAAACATTTTCAACAATAAAATGAACAAAAATTAAAAGGAAAGGTAAATTATTTATTTATTATTTTTTAAGGTAATCTTAGCTGTTGGAACGAAGTTGCAAGGAATCATAACGCAGATGGCGCTTGAAATCAAGGAAAGGCATGCGGTGGTTCAAGGGATTCCCCTTGTCCAAGTCTCGGACCGGCACTTTTGGTTCAGTTGGCCCGTTTTGATTCTTTATCTCATCCATTATGTTCTCTTCCAGGTATTGTTTATATTCCGTCCCTGAACTTTCGTGCTTTATCCTATTCTTTGTATGGAAGATTAATTTAGTCATTATCATTAATTTATTTTTACTAAATTATCTAATACAAATTTGATAATGTTTGGTTGTTTTCTCTTTCTTTATTTACATGTTAAATAGATATTTATGTGATAAGGCTTTGAAGTCATGAAGAAGGGTCGATTTCCTATCAAAATTATTAATTGAAATATTAATAATTAAAACTAAAACTAAAATATATAACATTTGAAAGTTTCAGAAAATATTTGAGAATATGACTGAGAACAAAAAAGGTTTGAAATTGTAAGACAAAACAAGATTTTAATTACCCTTAGATATGTATGTATTTTGCATAATTCAAATAATTAACCCATTTGTAACTCAACTAATAACCACTAAATAGTAGTTTCAAATTTCTATCAATTTATTTTAATAGTTATATTCTGAAAATTTGTCCAACATTTTTATACAATTACAAACATAGCATATTGTATAATTTTTTATATAACATATTGTGACTTAGTTCTTATTCGACATCTTGCTAATTATTTTATATACTTGATATATTAGCCATTGATATATTAGCCAAGAAGTTAAGCTCATTCAACTTTAAAAAGTATACAATATACACTAATTTTATTATAATATTTTTGTGATTATCTTAAAAAAAATTTAATTAGTATTTATTATGTGCGTTTTGTATTTAGTAAAAAGCTGACTCTGTTTAATTTCCTTTTGGCAGAATGCATTTGAGATTACATATTTCTTTTGGATATGGGTAAGAAGAACACACTCTACTGTTTTTTTTCCCCCTCTAAATATTAGAATTTATTTTAAAAAATCAACTAGAAATTCTAATTTTTTTTAGTGTATATATAAATTTTAATTGTGTTCATAGTTATGTTGTGGTGCAGTATGAATTTGGGTTGAGATCATGCTTTCACGAAAATTTTGACCTTACCATGGCCAGAGTTGCCCTTGGGTAAGTTAATAAATTACGTAACTATTTTGTTTTTAGATAATAAATTTATTTGCTGATATTATTTTAGAATAGATTTCAAATTATAAAAAATTTTGACATTTTAAAATAATAAATTATTTTACAATGGCAATTGACAGGGTTGGAGTCCAGATTTTGTGCAGTTACATTACACTTCCACTATATGCCCTCGTCACTCAGGTACATCTCATCCCACACTTGTTCGTGCGTCTTTCTTTATATCCTATAAAAATTTGACAAGTTTTTAATTTTTTGAAAAATAAAAAAGATTATCTCCTTTTCATGTCGTTCTTTTTTCTACTTGTCAAAATTTTGATAGTACGATAAGTAAAAGTTGAATGTTGATCGGTAAGTACCCGAGTATTGCTTGATGGATGAGAAAGTAAATTAATTAGATGCTAAACTGGTTAGCACCCTGTCTTGTAAGATGAGAGTTGATTGATAATTAAACATTTGGTATTGTGGGATTGGATAATATACTGACACCCGAGCGAATTTGATAGATGGGATCGACGATGAAGAAATCAATATTCGACGAACAAACTTCAAAAGCACTGAAGCAATGGCATAAAAGTGCTCTAAAGAAAAAGAACGAAGGGGGAAAGCCTCATACGCCAACGGCGACTTTAGGCGGTGGCGGCGGCGGCGGCGGAAGCCCTCCGGATTCACCAATGCACTCCTCGACACACGGTTTGGGCGCTCAGCCGTCGCCCGCCACCGACGTGGAAGCCTCCGCCGCTCCTTCCGCCAACATCATGGCCACTGTGGATCTGTCGCAAGAGCAACAGAATTACGCCAACCGTGACTTGCTGAGCTGATCATAATACTCAACTCAAACTCTAGGGTTTAAAGGTGTGAGCCAAAGAAATTAAAAAGATGAGGGTTTTGGCTTGTAAAATATATGCAATCTCATATTGGTTTCACTAATTTGTAAATCATTTCATTATGAGATCGTGTGGCTGGCTCCCAAGTTTTGTATTCTTTTTTGCTATATCTTTGTTCATATATCTCAACGATGGACGCCTATTCAAATATGTATGGAATATGTAAAATTTGTCCACGCCTTTGTCTCATTACATTCTACTTCTACACTAATCTGTCCAATCTCCAATGGGGTTAATCACTCTTTTTTTTTTTCTCTCTGTCTTTAATTCAGTTTATTTGATGGCGACTCTGGTTCGTTTGATTGTTTTGTGAAGATTAGGGTTAATGAGGTGCTTTTTTTTGTTAGAAATTTATTTTTTGTGTTGTTTTTGCCATAGTTTTGTTTTGGTAAATTCTTTGGGAGTGAGTTTAGGCAGATTTGACTTCGTTTAGGAATGTACTGTTTGGCCCACAAGTTCGGAATCAGTATCATGAATTTATTAAGCCTGGAATTTGATGTTAGGGTGTTGTGTAGCCTAGGTTTGGGTAGCTTGTGTTTGAGGTGTAAGGTTGTGTAGCACGGGTTTGTGTCACCTGGGGTGCAAGATTGGGTAGCTTGGATTTGTGTATTCAAATATTTTTTAGTTATTAAAAAATGAAATAATTTTATAATTCCGTCCACACTTAAAGAACACATAAATCCTATAAAATCCTCATTCCCTACTATAAAATTAAGAAATACAAAATTCAAAATAGATAAATTAATTATCTCCTTAATTAGACTGTATAAGTATGAAACATTTCCCTAAACACGAGAAGAAAAGAAAAACAACTAAAAAATATTTGAATACCCAGGCTACACAATCCTACACCTCAAATTGGCTACAAACACCCCAACATCAAACTCCAATTAGCTTAACAAATCCAGACTACTAATTTCGAATATGTGGGCCAAACGCCACCTAAAGGTTCTAAGGCACGTTTAAGCTACTTTCATTAATAAATTTAAAGGGATTTTTTTTTTTTTTTGGAATAAATTAGGCATTTGAGCTTCTTTTAGGCATGATTTTTATTCTTTAAGGTCTCAAATGCTCTTTATGCACGTTTTAGCTAGTTCAGCGGTGCTGCTAGTTTAGAAGAGTTTAGGAGTAGGTTAGATACGTTTACTTCCCTTTAGCCACATTATTTTGGTTACTTATGGCTCTTATGTGTAACGTTCCTCTTTCTTGTTTTTATTTCCAATTTTTAGAAACATAAGCATTTTGATAACTATTCAGGTTTATCCTTTCTTATTTTTAGATAATTGTGCAGAAATTTTGGAAACAACAAAATCAAATTTATTGTTTCTATTTTTAATATTTCCAAAACATAAATAAAACCATTATTCTTATCAATTTTTTACTTATAAAATTCATTATAAATATTAAAAGATAATATAAGATTAAAAAAGTGAAAGTTTAATTTAAAGAATTAATTTTCATATAAAATTTAAATTTTTTAATTTAAAATTTAGAGAATAAGGAACAAAAAATAGTTCCGATACATGTTTTTGTTTTCTCTTTCAATTAAAAAAGAAGAAACTAGAAGCAATTATCAAACACATGTCCGTTTCTATTTATTAAAAAAGAGAAAACAAGAAATAAGAAACGAGAATGTTACCAAACAAGCTCTTCTATTCAGTTAATTAATTTAGCACATTAGGAACCATTTTAGCTAGGTTGAGTCGAGGAAGAGTGGGTTACATGTCTGGCATTCAATTTGGTATTTTAGACATGGCTTTAGATTATTTTGGAGTATTATACATTAAAATTTTTAAATAATTATTTTTACAATTGTTTAATATTTAATTTATTTACACTTTGGTCCAAATGAGACAAATACTTCCTATTAAATATATCAATTTTTAAAAATAACGAACAACAAAATTAGAATAGAAAAAAAAAAACAAAAATGTAATTTTTTTTTTATATTTACCAAAAACTAAAAAGAATGTTGCTATCCCTCTTGAGAAGATTCATCGGGTCCGTAGTCATTTTTTTTTATCGACCCAAAAATACGACTGTTGGAGCAATTTCGTTTTCCTCCGAGTCGTCCTCACTCTCGACTCTCGCGTTCGTCGCTCGTCGGAGACTCACAGTATTTCTCCTCTGCATTTCCTCTGCCCTATGGTACGATCTCTTCCTGATCCACTCTGAATTCACCTCTTCAAGGACCGAGAGCAAACTAAAAATGGCATTCAAGTTGGATCTGTTCATTTTCACAGTCGCTTTGATCCTTTCGCCTGTGTTTTCCGATCTGATCTTCTCCAAGGTTGATCGTCGGGTAAGTTTTGCTGGAAGGTTTCGTAGTCATTCGTAATTGTTAACAATTGCTCCATTCGATTGCATCGTTCAGCTTCATCATTTCGTTCCATACATTTTGGTAGTGGTTAGGGATTTATGTTTTATGTTAGGGTTTACTTCTCAATTGCTGAGTAAAACTATTAATTATGTGTTCTAGCTTTTACTTGCTACGCTAGTGGATTTTGAAATTCCATTTTGTTTTCGAAGAACTAATAGCTTGATGTAATTAATTTACCACGCTATGGTGTCGTTGACTGTATTTCTCTTCCCATCTTGCAGATTGACTTGACTTCACAAATTGTTCGCATATCTTCAACTATAAGGGTATGGTATCTCTTGCTGCCATTTTTGGTTTTATTTTTTTGTGTTATTGCGATGAACTTGGGAAGTTGTAGTTAGAGGCGGTCTTCTTAATGGGGCACATTGTAGAGAAGTATGCAGGAATTGTGAAGGAATGAACGTTTGAGTATCTATGCTTTTATAACTTCGTCGTGCTGTGCTGTTCCAGGTGGAAAATCAGGGGACTGATGTGGTGTCTGAAGTATTGTTAACCTTTCCCGAGAAACAAGCAATATACTTGGCTCATCTTCAAGCAACATTAAATGGAGGAAAAGGGAAAGACAAAGGATCTCCCATAAGTGTCCCTGTCGATGTTGTTTATCCCAAGGAAAAGCCTCCAGCATTGAAATTTTATTCAGTGTCTATACCAAAGGGATTAAACAAGGGTGACAGCTTGACTTTCGATGTCTTGGCCGTTTTAACCCATGCTCTGCGTCCATTCCCAGAGAAAATCACTCAAGCTGATGTACAGTTTGTATTGTTTCTTGACAGTGCATACTATTTGTCTCCTTATACTGTCAAGGTCCAGTCACTAACTGTTAAATTGCCCGATGCAAGAATTGAGTCTTATACAAAATTGGAAAATACGAAGATTCAGGGTTCTGAGATCAAATATGGTCCTTATGAGAATCTTCCCCCATATTCATTCACACCTACACGCTTCCATTTTGAAAACAATCAGCCATTTCCTGTTGCTCAAGAGCTTGTCCGTGAGATAGAAATTTCTCACTGGGGTAGCATTCAAATAACAGAGCATTATAATCTTGTCCATGGCGGTGCTCAAAGTAGGGGGGAATTTTCCAGGTATTTTCTTGCTTTCTTTCTTTCTTTTCACTCTATTTCTTGTAAGTTTTTATTCTAGCAGGACAAGTAACTATTTTGCTTATTTCCACTGCAGGCTCGATTATCAAGCCAGACCTCATGCAAGAGGTGCTTCAGCATTTAGGAATCTTGTTGCAAAGTTACCACCTAGAGCTCATTCAGTATACTATAGGGATGATATTGGAAACATTTCTACATCTCATTTATGGGGTGATTCTAAAAAGGTGATAATTTGTTTCATGCGATCTAATGAAACAACCTCAATTATTTACCCGATTCTTTTCTTATTTCTTTTGTAAAATTTCAGACGGAGCTGGAGATTGAACCTAGATATCCAATGTTTGGTGGTTGGAGAACTTCTTTTACTATTGGATATGGTTTGCCACTTCAGGATTTTCTATTTCAGGATCAGGGAAAACGTTTTCTTAACATCACTTTTGGCTGCCCCATAAATGAAGTGGTGATTGATAATCTCATTATCAGGGTAATTTTCTTTCTTACTCTATGGTTATCGGCTGAAATATATCTTGCCATTAGGACATTTTAGTACTTCTTCGGCCACTGGAAACATTGCCTCCTAAAATTTTGGGATATATCATATATTTGATGAAAATAAATTTGGCATCCTTAACAGGTGATTTCCTGAATTTTTATTTGGTGTTTTAAAAGTTATTTAATGTTTGGAGAAGACCGTTAGCTAATTTATTGGTTAGCATGCTACGAAGTTTTGTACCATTTGACATTGTAGGAATTTTTTTTACTTATATTTCATTATTTCCATTCGAATATGGTTTACTTAAATTCTTTTGTTGTCCCTTGTGTTCATGAGATGCATCCATAGCCGTGGATTGCATCCGGTTTGTGTAGAACTGGAATAAAGGTTCCTCCAAATAGAAGTGACTGTTTTTTGTGACCGGCAGGTTGTTTTACCAGAGGGTTCCGGAGATATATCCGTGTCTGTTCCATTTTCTCATAAACAGTGGCATGAGGTAGTATGGACTAATAACAATATTATTTTATTAGCCTCCTTCCTGTTTATTTATTGACTATTTTATTTTTGCCAAAAAAATGTGTCAATATATTTTCTTTCCTGAATTTCCTATTTTGATTATTACAGACAAAATTTTCACACTTGGACATTGTTGGTAGACCAGTGGTTATACTGGAAAAGGCCAATGTTGTCCCAGAGCATAATCAACATTTCCAGGTATCTGCTGTCTTTTAACTCAAATTTTATCTGCATTTGGATGTTATGTATCTCAATCAATTTAGCAAAGTTGTGGACGTAATAGACATGCTTATGAGTTTATGTGTACGGTTGAGTTAAAGATCTCTCACATCTGACAGTGAAGTTTGCCAACTCTCTCTTGCTTTATTTGCAGGTCTACTACAAGTTCAGTAGCATTTCGATGCTCAGGGAACCCATGATGTTGATATTTGGATTTTTCGTCCTTTTTGTCACATGCATCAT